TTCTCTCTCTCTCTCTCTCTCTCTCTCTCTCTTCTCTCTCTCTCTCTCTCCCCCCTCTCTCTCTTGCGAATGCACATAAAAATACACACACAAACAAATCATCAAACACACACATGTACACATGTTCACACACATACATACACACCACATACATACACACACACAGAGACAAATACACACACACACAGACACACACACACACACACAGACACACACACACACACACACATACACACACGTGACAGACACAAACCTACATACACACACACACATACACACACAGAGAAAAGCTCACCTCTGTGACCATAGAGATCAAGGTGACCTCCGGCAGGGCAAACAGATCCACCATCTGATGCATGCGACCCTGTCAGATAGACAAACATGGCAGCTGATGATATCTATTGCACAGATAGACAGACAGTAAATTGTTGAGATCTATTGCACAGATAGACAGACCATAAACTGATAAGATCTAACACACAGATTGACGGACCATAAATCGTGCGACATTGTGGTGAAATCTGATGGTCGTAAAATTAATGAAATCAAAGAAACCAGCATTTCCTCCGCCAGTTGAGAAACTGTAATTGGATTATTTTTTTGGGTTAGCACCTTTGCATCAATTCTTTAAAAATATTTCTGTATGGATTTTACTGAAAAACGTTGATTGAAGACACAAAAATTTTACATTTGCAGTTCAAGTTATGGAAGTCACAAAACTTTGGTGGCCGTTTCTCTCCAATCTTATCTCTTGACACCTGGTGACTGTTATGATGTTATGTGTTCTTGATATTTGATCGATGTCAGAGGAGCACAAGATGATGACAAACATTCCGCCATATTGATTTCATAGGGAAGGGAAGTGTTTATTTTCGTATCAAACATCTTTACTATATTTGGGTATAAGTATCGAATATCATGACAGCAACCCCTCATCTTTTCAATCACAAACGTTTCATAATCTTTTCAAGTTAGATTGGCACTCGTTTTTTTAGCGAGATACATGAAAAAGCTTAAAGACGATACCAGTCACTTGACATGGCCAAACATAAATGAGCGAATGATTTCACCACCTCGCGACCTCAGTGCTTTCTTGTCCTATCTCCATTTTTAATAACAGTGAAAACAGTTCATCATAACAAAGAGGGAGCTTAAGAACAAGTCACATTTTCACTGTTAAAAAAAATGGAGATAGGACAAGAAAGCACTCGACCTCATGACACCATTGACCATAAATTATTGATGGATTGAGGACTTGCATTTTGATCACTCCACATCGCTTCGAGATGCAGTTTTCGCTACTTGAAAAATATCAAGTCTAATTTCCTTCTTCGAACGTAATTTTTAATGTTCTCTTTTCTTTATATCTAAATCATAAAAAGGAAAACAAAAACACTGATACTATAAATTATGCAAATTTGTGTATCTGATCTGCATGTGAAAATTAAAAATGTGCCGCAAAATTGGCTTTGGTGTGCTGCTGATCGGACATATGTATCCATTAAGTTCTTGAACATTCAGTGTCTTACACCCTTGTTGACACCATTTAGATCATAAGGGAAGCCGGCCGCTCCAACCCAGCCCTAGCAGAGTGGGGATACATGACAGAACTCCAGCAGACAGACGGAGATACTGAATACACACAGCTGACAACTTTTTTTAAAAAAACAATAAATAAACACAAAAAAAGACAAACTTGTTTGTTTTAGATAAGGATTTACGGTGCTTGCAACTGCATAACGTCATATGAGCACCAAGGGCTGGATGTCAACAGAGAAGTCCAAATGAGAAATCAAGTTTACTCTGCTCAACTCTCTAGCCTCAACAGCACAAAGTCTGCATCAACTATCAGGCACCCCGGAAACAGCAGTTCACAAGAGTGTGAAAAGCATACAAAAGATGTACAGGCAAAATGACGATAGTAAGGATGCGGAAAGAAAAAGCAGCAGTTCTACCTATGTTATTGCGGCACAGTATGAGCATGCCATTGATAGGTCAGCCCATTTACAATTCTTCTGTGCATAAGAACATGTTAATATCCCCCCTTTGGGAATGGCCTAAAGACACTTCAGTCAGTAGCACTGTCCTGGGGGTGAGGGAGACAGACAGACTAATGCTAATGCTTGCAAACTTTTCCAAAACCCCCAATCATTGACACTCAATTTTCTTACTTCAGATTGAAGTACCACCATACAAACAAACTACCACCAGCGGTCCCACGTACCGATCCGTAGAAAGTGTTCATGTTCTCCACAGGTATGTGAGTCCCCTCATACAGCGCCTTCACTTCTTCGTCCGCCACTGGAGACAGGCCCCTGGCAAACCACACAGGTCACACAGGTTACAGGGTAACTTTGGTTTTAGTTTTTAGTAAGAGTTTCAAGGCGCTTACAACACAATTAGATCATGTAAGTGCCGAAGATTAGAGGTGTTACAAGAGAGAAACAAACAGAAAAAAGGAGGAGCCGAGATAAGGACGACAGATGTTTGATAGGAAAGAAAAAGTAAACCACACCAGAGCACCCGTCAACCAATCACAAACAGTAGGATGATAAAACACAAAAGGGATGAAGAAAAGTTTGCTCATTAATTGATACCAAGCACCATCAACAATTTAAAAATTTATTTTTTCTAACAAGTCAAGTAAGAAACAAACAAATGAAATATATGATAAACTTTGCAGTGCACAAACACACAAATAAAAAGTAAAACAAAGTGACCTAGTTCGGTACATAACATTCCAACACTTCCAGCACATAACTCTGTCCACGAGGACAGCCAAACTATTATCAGATTTCAATACAAGCAAACAGAACAACATGGCTGCCCACACATCTTTTTCAGTAGGAAATTTACAGGCTCTTCCTTACAACAAACAGCTGTAATTATCAAATGTAACTGCGTGGGTTTATCCCCCTGTCCACACCACGTCGCCTCAGAACGATTTTGTCCACAGTGTAATTAAGTAAAGAGGCACTTTGGACAAAACACTTCTGAGGCGACCACTAGTAGGTTCTCTAAGGGGTGGGACCTCTGAGTTTAACCCTATCCATACGTCGTGTTTTAATATCGTAACCAAACGACGTGGGGAACTCTGTGCCACCACCTAACCCTATCCGTACGTCATGTTTTACCATCGTATCCATACGACGTGGGGAACTCTGTGCCACCACTTTCCAAAGAGGAGATTTACTCGATAAAATCCGATGAGTACGCTTTGCGTAGCAGTCTGCCAAATTGATTTTTAAAGAAATATTGAAAGTTTCAAAGAGATCTTCGTGCTAGAAGTATTCTAAAATGTGAACAACACAACCCCAGGGGTAAAAAATGACCCCAGGGCGTACGGATAGGGTTAACATCCGTCTCCGATAAGATTAAGCCAAATGGGTTGAGAGCCTTGAAAATTCCAAAAGCGACCCCATTTCAAAAACACTCAGACAGGGATTTGAAAAAGAGCCATTCATTCCCTAGCCCAGTATGATCCCAACTGAACTAGCGAGGTGTGCGAGAAAAGTTGTCCGACTGAAAGAAGCATTCACCCACCTGTACACTGTGCCTAGCTGGATGTTGTGGAACTGGTCAATTTTCATGAGCAGACCCTAGGAACCAAGGACAATAATAAATCAATAACATGATACTTATATTATTATTATAGTAGAGGGTTTTACGGCGCTCGCAACTGCATAAGGTCATAGTTACATATCGCTCGACCCCAATGTAAAAAAAGAAGGCTCTGGGGGCTTTACAAACGCAACAGCCACACACACACAGTACATTGTGTTCCGACAAAAAAATCCCCATAAATCTCTGTAATCTAAATAAAATAGAAAACGATTTTAGGTCACATTAAAACGAAGTTCTTTTAGTTTTAGTTAAGTTTTTACGGTGCTCGCAACTGCATAAGGTCATTTGAGCACCAAGGGGTGGATGTCAACAGAGAAGTCCAAACAGGGAATCAGGCTTACTCTGCTCACCTCTCTTGCCTCAACAGGACAAAGTCTGCTTCGACTATCAAGGCACCTGGAAATGGCAGTTCACAAGAGAGTGACAAACATACAAAAGAAGTAGAGGAAAAATTTTGATAGTAAGGATGAGGAAAGAAAAAGCAGCAGTTCCCCCTATGTTGTTCCGGCACAGTACGAGCATGACATTGATAAATCAGCCCATTTTCAATTCTACTGTGCATAAGAAAATGTTAATGTCCCCCCATTTTACTAAAACTTAAAGTCCTCTAACTGAGTGCTCCACAACCATCACAAGGCCTTTGACATTGACATTGGTCTTGACCTAGACCCTACCTTCCTGACGTCGTAGTGCAGGCCTCTCACGGCAAAGTCCGAGTCATACTCCAGCTGTAAGATCTCCCCGGGATACTGAGGACGGCACAGATGAATACAAGTTGTGGGAGGCAGCCGGGTCAAATCAACCGCTCGGCAAAAAAAGGAAAATATCCCCCCCCCCCCCTTTTTCATCTTTTCTTTTTTTAGAATGGCAAAATAATGAAACTACTCCCTCACCCTTTTCATTTTTTTTTAGAGCGAAGGGGAGTGTCTCACTTCTACTTTCATGTCTCATTGATTAAAATCTCATTTTTGTGTGGATTTTACTGAAGACTGTTCATCAGAAGCACACTTGTTGTCTCATGATATTTGTGTCATGACACAGCGGAATCAGGCGTTCATCAATTTTTGGCATCACTGGTGTTAGCTTAAATCCTGTTCATCTAGGCTGAATAAAAGTCAACAGCGATTGAAGGATATGGGGAGTCACCTAGTGTCAGAGGTAAAATTTGCAAGAAAATGACCACCAAAAACTGAAAGTTTACACTAGTTGTAAATTCAAGTAAAGTACCTTAACCATAGACACAACGCTGGGCCAGAGTCTCAAACCTCAGAATTTACAACCTCACGATTACAAGTCCTGTAGCCTAACCACCAGACTACCAACACTCTTTACGGTAAGCTTTGTACGCTTTTCAACTATTAAGACCTCAGCAGACCCTAGAACACTTAGAAACATTTTCGACTTTCCAGCACATACATATCCCTACCTTGAGCCTGTTCACCAGCGCCTCTTTGCCGAGGGAAAAGATCAGCTTGTGGAGGTCGGGCGTGTAGGTGGCCAGGGTATAGTCGTAGTCGAAGCCGTAGACTTCCACCTGGCTCAGCGACAGCTCGTTGTTGGCAAAGATAGCCTCCGGGTTCTGGTCAGGGGAGGCAACTTCAGCTGGAAACAGTGTACAACAGTTCCGTTTTATACAGTTGTGAGCACGATTAACTTTTGCCAAACTGAACTGAACTAAACAGTCTAAATCACACTTCCATTCTTTAGGAGGCATGAAATTGATTAATTTTTTATTTAAAAAAAATTAGAAGTAGGTGTTTTCACATTCCCCCATTCTGGCAATTTACATCATTTAGGAGGCGGGCTTCAGACCCTATCTGTCAGTACAATGCATGTTTTCACAATAATCATAAATGTTTTCTTTGATATATTTGTACTTCATGTATCACGATATATGTAGTGAAAAGAGGGGCTCGTCAATTTTTGGCAAAGTACCGTGTTATTGGTGTATATTCTTCCTTTGAAACTATTCTCCTTGTTCTGACATAATTTTTTCCAGATCTCATGAAATACGTAACAGGTATGCAAGAAAAATGTTCAATAAATGTCTTACATGTGCCAGAGTGAAAGAGAAAGTAATTTTTAATTCATTCGCTACGTATTATTTTCGGCTTGAGGACGATTTTTTTTTCCGGAGGGCGAATGAGATGATGACCAGTGGGCAGTTAAAAGGTCTTTGGGGCCACAAATTCAAATAAATATCAACGTATTATATACCAATATTTTCAGTATGGTTTGTAGAATACATCTGTAATGTTTATTTATGTATTTTTGAACTTTGGTTCCTGAAAGAGACGATTATGCAACACAATTTTGATTGGATGCGGATAAAATTTGAAAATAAAAAATAAATAATCTTTGGTGAAACTCAAAAAATATGTTTGCATCTAGTCAAATGATACATCAAAATAACCATAAATGAATATAGAACTGGAAAATATTGAAAAGTTTGCAGTTATTTACCTACATTCCATAATATTTGTAAATTTTGAACATAACATCCGATATTGAAAAAAAAAATAATTTTATAATCTTGAAAAACGATCACAAACAGAAAAAAACACTTGTATCTTATATGCAATAATTCAGAATTGCATTTGGAATAAACCTATATGTCTTTTTTTTGGGGGGGGGGGGGGGGGGGGGTAAGTGTTTTACAGCGCTCGCAACTGCATAAGGTCATATGAGCGCGCGGGACACACCTAATATTTTCAGTTGGTAGGAAATTTTGAATTTTGCCCGGGTGGTGGCCAAAGCCTACTCTTATCGATTATAGACCACCAAGGGATCTTTAACGTGCGCAACTTGCACACGGGGCCTCAGAGATTTTTTCGACCTTGTCCGAGAAGGCTAGGTGTAGATCTTTCCTACCAGAAGACCAGGGGTGTGGCAGAAAGACAGCAGTAAGGAGGAGCCAAGGAGTAGCAGTAGAAAGGCTACAGAAAGAGTCAGGAGCCCAGAAGACGGGGCAAAGGAGGTGAGGGGGTGGGGGCAGAAAGTGGAAATGAAAGCAGACAACAGAACATTGCTTGAGAGAAGGAAAGGAGGTGAAAGGAGACAATTTTAGAGAAGAAAATTTTTCGGTCGTTACCCGGATTCGAACCCGGGACCTTTGAATGAGAGGCCAACATCTTAACCTCTAGGCCACAAGAGCCCCCTGTATACATGTCTTGAGTGGCACTTTTGTGTAATTTCATCAAAAAGTAGTGATTTTGGGGAGCAAAAAAAATTTTGACAATTTAAATCTAGATCTAGGCTTAGATCTAGCACTCAAAAATAATGATTTCTCAATAAAAGTGCATTGGCAAATAAGTTAAATCGGATCAATATAAAAAAGTCCTACATTTCTTTAGTGGGCAAAATAATGATACATTTTGTTGTATAAAAGTACTAAGACTGGTGTCCGGGCTATAATTTTGGAACCGCGATAAAACAAAGTCGAATAAACTACGAAATCGCGTTTCAAGACTGAATCTAAATCTGATTTTCAGTGAAAATTCTTGACCCGGAGGTCAACATTGACCTTTATTTTAACATGGATATGTGGATTGGAATAGAATCTAAGCTAAAATTGAAGATCAGTTCTCGAGCCGCCGGGGGCGGCTTAGTGTACTGACGGCACTTTAACCGTGCTGCCCCCCACGGCTCGGCCTAGCGAATGAGTAACTCTTCCAGGTCAACTGAAAAACTGGAGAAGCGACATGATGTGCAACTATATAGATACGTGATGCCGGAGAATAGCCATCAATCTATTGACCGGTGTGAAACCGGATAGCCACTAATTGTTTTAACACTTTGCTCCTATCATATCTTGGGGAAAATCCAAATAAACTAGATCTAGGTGCATGGTAAACATCGCCTATTGGCGAGATGAGGCGGCAAAGTGTTAAATAACGTGGAGTAAAGTGAAGGAAGGACCTCCGTAACGAGCGACCACCTCAACCAACAAACACAGTAAAGAAAAGATCTAACCGTAACCCAAACCCTATCCCTAACCATACCCCTCTATTCTACTCTGTCTCATAAGTGACATTGTCATAGTGGTCGCTCGTTGAAGTCCTCTCAAAGTGAAAGTAGGCCTGGGGTCTTGAGCATTTTTGTGCATGGTGCACTGAGCAAACAAAATGAACGTCATATTGTGGACCACATAACTATTCAATATTTTTTGCATATAGCTCTAGATCTAAACGTTGTTAAGATCGAGTAGAATCTACAGCCATCAGGAATATGTAGCGAAAGTCGCTGACAACGCGTCCTCAACAGTAAAAATGCAGAAAAAAATCGTAAACTTTGATAAGCTGGAGATGCACTCTTGCAGCAGCCCTTACCTTCAGCAGCATCTTTTCTGGATCTGTAAAGATCTTCCAGTTGCACTTTGGAAGCGACATAGCTTCTTTTTCCGAGCTCATGCAAAAGGCAAGGAGCACGGCGTCTTTGGAACGCATGAGTGAAAGCACGACTGATCGCCCTACAGCCAAACCTAGCAGTCGCCATTCTCCTCTCCTGAGGTCGAAGAGGCCAGATTTTCGGTAGTCATGAATCAAAATCAAAAGATTAATTCCAGAACAAATTTTTTTCCCTTGTTATAATATATATTTAAGTTTTGTTCCACTGCTTTTTAGAATTCTTCTTTACTGTTCTGTATTGCAAGAAAGCTTGAAAATATAAAGACTTATATATATGCCAGAGAGTACATGAAAGTTGTCCAAAGCGGCAAGGTTCCTGACTGCAACAACTGGCTGGCAACACAACACCTCGGGGTAAACAACTGGAGGGCGGAGGGCAAATGGCAATAGGGAGTAGCCCTCGGGATGGTCCGCTGTTATAATGCACAAAGCCCCACATACCCCCC